CAAGCGGAGGTCCACATAAATTTGTACTGCAATATGGATGCTGTTTCTTTTGGCCTTCAACACACACCCAAAAGCGTACCCCCGAACAAAGAGACACTCACATGCAACCAAAACGAGGGCCCCTTTAAAGGAGATTCATCTAAGCATCGGTGTGAAAACCTGCCATTTTCTGGTTTGGAAATCTGTGGTTTTTTTCCGCTAAGCACCAAGGATTGTGTTTTTGCACGGGGCAATAGCCACATCAATATCAAGACTCGCCTGAGGAAGTGTATCGACTGCTTTACCTCCGGCAAGGATCTCTGCATCTCTGCGCGTGTTTCGACAAGTGTTTTTTGGTTTTTCTGTGAAGTGCACCTGTTCCCAGTCACCATTGAACAGTCACTTTAGCTGGTTTTGGAAAATTGTACATGCATTGTCCTACCTACCATTTAACAACATTGTTATTGTTTGCATCGGGGGCTGTTGTTTTTGGTCCCAGGCATCGTCATGGAGTTTTTGCCCGAGAACTTGCACCAACGCATCGGCGGCAAAGCGTTGGCTGCGGGTCAGGTGAGATCTTTCACAACTCAGCTCTTGATAGCATTGGCTCACTTAGACTCGCTGCAGCTAGGCATCCGGACTGGTCAGAATCGAGCCATGCGCTTCGAAGGTTCCGTCTGGGGAAGAAGTTGCCAGCCCAGTGTTTGCAGGTCCTTGCTCGTTGGTGGCAAAACTAGAAGCGGACAGTTTTTGTGTTCTGTTTCTAGGAAAGATGGGCATTAGAGAGCACCAACTGTCATGCCAAGCTCCAATCACGACATTCACCAAGGACCCCTGAGCTAACCCCTCCTCCCCCCACCGCATTCAGTGGGAAACCGTATCCTCCCTGCTTGGCAAATTTCAACTATACATCTTATATATATATATATGTATGTATATATGTCCCAGTGCTACCAGGCTCCAGAGAAACCATCCATGATAAGGGAAGGATCCAGAAAGGCTACCTAGAGCGACGAAACGCTTGGAAGCACTGGGTGTGGTATGGGACTGTTGTGGCCCATTTGCAGTCACATCCAGCGCGAGTCGTCTCCAGATGATTGGTGCCACATTAGTATGACACAACACTCAATTTCAACAAACCCGTATCTATTATTCCTAGTTTCCTAGGCAATCCCTCAAACGGTTCATTCCCAACACCCGGACTTATTGTCATTCATTCCCTACCTTCCGCGCTAAGGCGTTTCTGGGGGTTGATCAAAAGGTCCTTACATAGGATGACCATGGAACCCACAAAAATGATACTTCTCACCGTATGGGGAAAGTTTTACCCATGGTCAAAACTGGGGGCCCTACATGGAATATTGATCAACCCCCATGTATGCATATCGGTTTGCCTTTTTTGAGGGTACCCCCTTTTTTGGTGGTTTGAAGGGGACATGAACAGGAAAACCCACCATTTTGGGGGGCTGTTTTGTTTTCTTGTCTGTTTTTTTCCCGTATTTTTTGTTTCTTCACCAAACCACTAGAAATGTGATAGTTTCCACTAAATGGCGAAAGTTTTACCCATGGTCAACACTGGGGCCCTAGTTACATGGAATATTGATCCACTTTCATTTTGTTTCGCCGTTCCTCACCCAGGCAAATCTGTGTTTCCCCCCGTTTTTCCCTGTTTTTCCTTTCCCAAACCCATGTGTTTTCTTCAAAACCAATCCCAGGCAGATCTGCCATCGCGACCTGAAACCGGAGAACCTTTTGCTGGAGGGCGAGCAGCTGAAGCTCTGCGATTTCGGCTCCGCCAAGCGGCTGCTGTCGAGTGACAAGCCGTCGGCCAGCTACATCTGCTCCCGCTGGTGGCGCGCCCCCGAGCTGATCCTGGGGTCCGGCGACTCTTCTTGTTTCGCCGAAAAGAGCAAAGCAGTCATATATTGCCTGGATCGCCAGTTGCGATCGTTTTTTTCCATCCACTTTACCCCAAAAACCAGTAACAGTGACTGAAAAAGCAGCAACTTGGCTATCTAGGTGGTTTGTTGAACACAGAAACGCGGCATTGGTGTTTGGGTGAAACATGTCCCGAAGTTTAGGTGAAACGGTCCAATGACTGGACAGTTTCTAGTGAGCGTGCCTTCTTATCAAGCCTTTTGGCAGTCCTTACCTCTGAAATGTCAACTAGGTCCCCCTTTCTCACCCGTTTTTTGGGGGAAGGTTCCCGTACTACGTAAACTAGACTACAGAAAAATGGAGACCAACTTATTCTAACCTCTCTACTGGCACTGGAGGACCTAGTCGTACAATTGTTTGTTTGACAAAGAAACGAGGCATTTGCGCTTATGCCTGGGAAATCCAAGACTTTGTAGAGATATGGGCCGCCGGGAAAACAGCAGCCAGTAAGCCACCCATTTGACGAGGTTCTGCCAGAAAGGCCAGGGCCCAAATCTGGCTAACTTGGCCAACATGTAGCAAGAGTCCATGGTTTTCGAGGTCTCTTCGAGTGGGCGTGTCTTGCCGCGAAAAGCTATACAATGTAGTGACTGTAATGTCTTTTTCTGGACCACCCTGTCGAGTTGAGTGCCAGTTTTGTTTTGCCAATGACTTCATTCAGATCAGATAAGCCATGCGAAGAGTCTGAGAGCCAAGGCAACTACACCACCAGCATTGACTGGTGGTCTTGTGGATGCATCATCGCAGAGATGGTGTGTGGCAGGCCGATCTTCATGGGAGAGTCCAGCTGGGGCCAGATGTACGCCATTGCTCTTTGGCCGGTTGATGGGAGGGCGCGCTTCCTGATTTCCTGGACTTTAAATTTGTTGGAAGTGGCAAACAAAAGCTTGGACGTTTTAGGCCAATCCACTCAGGAAGTGAGTGGGTGTGCCCACATGGACATGCATGGACTTCACCCAGAATTCCTGTACTCGCCGAATGGTTTTGCGGTTTGCTGTTTTCATGAGGGCTTGCAGAGAAATGCTGGAGCTGCGGCTTTCACTCGGCTCTTTGTTTGTGTGCGAGTGGGTGTGGCCTTTTTGCTTGCACTTTGAATAAGGAAGCGACATGCGAAGTGGATACGCCTCCAGACCCATTCTCCGTTCCCACATGTCGCAAGCTGTGGATGGACAAGATCCATGTCGCCCCACCTTTCAGAACCCTGGAATGAATCGATTGCCCTGCAAATGCCAACAAACGTTATGGTTTCAACAGGGCTCCTTAAAAGGTACATTTTGCAAAATTGAAACATGGCTTTTTCCACCAAAATACAGGGAAGCCACCATTTACAAGGCAATGTTCAGGCGTATATGTAAGGATCCCTGTTCAACCCATGGAAGCTCATTTCGTGCCTTCCGGATTTCGCGCCCACAGAAGCCGCTCCACCCCCGCAGCGCGTCTCCCGGCCCGAGGTCCGGGTGCTTGGCACTCCCTCCGAGGCGGAGATGCAGTTCCTGACGCCCCACGCGGAGCCTGGAGGCGGATGGGGGTTCGTCAAAAGATCAGAACCAGCTTCCTAGGCAATCCCTCAAACGGTTCATTCCCAACACCCGGACTTATTGTCATTCATTCCCTACCTTCCGCGCTAAGGCGTTTCTGGGGGTTGATCAAAAGGTCCTTGCATAGGATGGCCATTGGTTGGAAAACCAATATTATATTTTTAACCTGGGAGAAGTGACCCATGTTGAAAACTGGGGGCCGCATGGAATGTTGATCAACCCCCCATGTATCGACAGCCACCGGTTCTGCTTTTGTGAACGTGGATGGCTTGAGATTGATAAAGCAAATATGGCGGTCTTGTGGCTTTTATGCCAAGCGCAGGCCTTTGTCCACAGCGTACCTTTACAACAGAGATGCCTTTGTGTTTGTTCCCTCATACCGTGGATGGCTGCGAAATCCATCTCGCACCACCGTTAAGAAGGCCTGAAATGATTCGATTCCCCTGTACATACCAACAAGCGTTTTTGATTTTCATGGTTTCAAAGTGTTGCAGGATTTCGTCCGTTCCCAGTATATAGTTCCTGCTAGTCCAGAAGCAGTGATCCTTTGCAGTGAGCGTGACCTATGCTTGAGCATTTTAGCATTTGAACCGGGCAGCCGAACAGTCAGCAGAAGTAGGATCGGATGTACAAGCTTAGTCTCCATCACCAAGGTTCGAGTGTGACTCATGGCATGTTGCATCGCCTCAGATTTTCCGGACCCGATCTTTTCTTATTTTGGGGAAGCTAAGGAGACGGGATAAGCAGACGTCAAAATTCCCTATTGATCCGAGAGCTCAACGATCCGGGTCCAATCCTTTCGGCTGCGCCAAGGTTGGTAACAACTTACATCTTGTCCTTCAAATGAAACCAGTTGCGAAATTATGATCCTGCCACCAGTTGCATGAATCCCTAAAGATGCTGGTTTATAAACCACCAAACTGGTGCTGATCGCCATGGTTTTTGTAACCAGGTTTAGGTCAATACAGGAGCCCACATAATTAGAATGGGATTGTTGGGTTCCTCAAAACCAATTTTAGTCATGACAGGGGTAAACCTCGGTAGTCAGGATGGCTTTTTGGAGGTAAGGTGTCATTTCGCACCCCTTAAAGGATCCTCCTTATTCTTTTGGACCCAACTTCCGAAGGGTGCAAGAAGAGGCTTTGATGGTCTTTGTTGCCCAGTGGCGCCCTGTTTTCCTTCATTCTGAGGAAAGGTCCCCGTCTAAACTCGACCAACCAAAAAGTTGGACGCCCTTTTTTCCCCTGGCCGGCTTGAAACCGGAGGTCGGCTGGCGCAGCACCTGTCGACCTTAGCCAAGCTCCACCGCGCCTCACGCCTCCCGGAGCTCCTCTCGGGTTCCGGCGGCTTCCTGCGCATCGCCCAGCGGCTGCTGCGCTACGCGCCCCAAGACCGCTGGCACCCCACGCGACTGCTGAAGCACCTCAGACCTGTGACGTCAGGTGCACTTTTGGTTGAATTCTTGTGTGTTCATTTAGTCAGTGTGTTGATTGGTTGGTTGGCTCGCTGGTTGGCCGGTTGGCTGGTTGGCTGCTTGGCTGGTTGCTTGGCTGGTTGGCTGGTTGGCTGGTTGGCTGGATGGCTGGCTAGAGGCTGGTTGGCCGGTTGGCGGGTTGGCCTGCTGGCTGGCTGGTTGGCTGGTTGGCTGGTTGGCTGGCTGGCTGGCTGGCTAGATGCTGGTTGGCTGGTTGGCTGGCTGGCTGCTGGCTGGCTGGCTGGCTGGTTGGCTGATTGGCTGGTTGGCTGGTTGGGTGGTTGCCTGGCTGGCTGGCTGGCTGGCTGGCTGGCTGGCTGGCTTGTTGGCTGGTTGGGTGGTTGGCTGGCTGGCTGGGTGGCTGGCTTGTTGGCTGATTGGCTGGTTGGCTGGCTGGCTGGGTGTTGGTTGGCTGGTTGGCTGGTTGGTTGGCTGGTTGGCTGGTTGGCTGGTCGGCTGGTTGCTTGGCTGGTTGGCTGGTTGGCGGGTTGGCTGGCTAGATGCTGGTTGGCTGCTTGGCGGGTTGGCTGGCTGGTTGGCTGCCTGGTTGGCTGGTTGCTTGGCTGGCTGGTTGGCTGGTTGGCTGGATGCTGGTTGGCTGGTTGGCTGGCTGGTTGGGTGGCTGGTTGCTTGGCTGGTTGGCTGGTTGGCTGGCTGGCTGGATGCTGGTTGGCTGGTTGGCTGTTTGGCTGGTTGGCTGGTTGGCTGGCTGGCTGGCTGGATGCTGCCTGGCTGGCTGGCTGGGTGTTGGTTGGCTGGTTGGCTGGTTGGTTGGCTGGTTGGCTGGTTGGCTGGTCGGCTCTTTGGCTGGCTTGCTGGTTGGCTGGTTGGCTGGTTGGTTGGTTGGCTGGTTGGCTGGTTGGCTGGCTGGCTGTGTGGCTGGCTGGCTGGCTGGCTGGCTGGCTGGTTGGTGGGTGCAATAGATAGTTGAAAAAGGTGCTTTTGTGTTTTTCATTTTGTCGCTTGTTTGGTGTTCGTTCCTGTTTTCTGTGTTTATGTATTCCTCTGTTTATGTATTTATTTAGTTACTTTATTTCTGTTTGTCTGTCTGTCTGTCTGTCTGTCTGTCTGTCTGTCTGTCTGTCTGTCTGTCTGTCTGTCTGTCTGTCTGTCTGTCTGTCTGTCTATCTGTTTGCTTTATTTGTATATTTCTTTGTTTATTCCTCGATGTATTGTTTCTTTTGTTATTGTCGTATGATGTGCTTGTTTTTGTTTTCTCTTTTTTATGTATGTTATTCTGTCTTTACTTGTTCTTTGGTTTTGGTGTTTATTTGTTTCTTTGTTTGTGTGTGCGTGGTGTTCCTTTGTGTTGTTTGTCTATCTGTTTGCCCGTCTGCCTGCCTGGATGGCTGCCTGCCTGCCTGCCTGTCCGTCCGTCCGTCTGTCAGTCTGTTTGTCTGTCGTTCCGCTTGTTTGTTTGCCTGAGTGTGTTCTTGTTTTGGTTGGATGGTCGGATTGAGTTGTTTGCTAGTGTTTAGAAGTTTAGCATAATGCAGCGACAGCTCGGCAGATCAGTTGAATGGTTACAGTAGCCATGCAAGTCGCCTCTTATGATGTCTTATGGCAAGGCTTGCTTTCCACAACCAAAGGTCACGCTTCTTGCAGCACCCGCAGCCCAGCTGCGTTGCTCCGGGCATCGGGACGAAGGTCTCTAAGAGGCTCCGCTCGGAGGACTTGCTAATGCAAAGCGCAAAGCGACGGCAAGTCGCGTGTGACTCGGTGTCCGAAAGCGTCGATGTGTTTTTTTCTCTGGATGGTTCATTTGTTGCGAAAGCTTGGCGGAAGGGCTACGAAGATAAGAAATGATATAGCCTTCCTGCACACGTGGAAGCGAACACAAACTTCAATCCCATGGTTCAATCCGCAAAAGCGACTTGCAAGCGATTCCCTCTTCAGAGCTCCGAGGAAGAGCTCATTTGGCAAGCAAAGGTTTAACTATTGAGACTTGGCTGTGGGTCAAAACCAATAGTATCATTTTGGGGTAGGTGCACCACCGATTTGAGTCTATTTTGGTGGGGATTGGGATGTTCACTGGGGGTACGGGCTTTTGACCCATGGCCATTTATGTTTCCTGGGTGTTGAGGTGAGGCTCGCATCGTGGACTTACGGAGCTAAGCGGCGAGAAGTTTATATGGCAGGCGCGTTCTCGATTCGACGGAGCCCCTGTCAAATGACAGCGTAGTGCAAATACAGCCTAGGTTTTCCAGTAGTGCCCTTTTACCCTTTTTGGGGGAGGGTTCCCCTACTCAAATAGACTACAGAAGAAAGGGTGGCCTTGTTCTAACCTCTCTACTGGAGGACCTAGCGCTCAGCAATCAACCTGAGTAGTTTAGCAGTCGTTACGGTGATCATGTTGTTCATCGCAGGCTTGGATGTTTGTTTCCCATATGACATGGGCTCATGTCATTGTGGAGACCATGCGCCTTCTGGCCCGTGTGGTTTCACCCGTTTTGTAGCCGCGTGTGTGATCCACCTTCAGGTACAGCAAGTGCGATCCACGCAGCGGCACTCAGCCCAAAGTTTTTTTGCAGAGCTAGGGTTGCGAAGTTGCTGAGCCAAAGTCAAAGCCAGAAACGAATCGTGCGGCCGGAGGGGATAACTTTGGTGCATTGTGCTTGGATGTTAGGACTTTAACTTTTTGCCAACTAATAGGTTTTCCCATTAAACCACTAAAAGGTAAACTTTTAGCAGGGGAGCAGAAAGCAACCGAGACAATGCACATTCTTGTTGGGGAGCTGGTTCCCCTGCTTTTGTACCGTTCTTACCCAAGGGCAGCCGCCATGTATGTGCGCATGCTTCAAGTCAGCTTTTCCGCAGGAATGGGCTAGCAGTTTCTGGCACCCAAAAAGAAACATCCAGCAACCTCAACGCGCTTCAGTTGGAGCTTGAGTTTTAGATCCCCAAATCGCTAGACAAGCAGAGCAAGCAACAAAGCAACTCACTCTACGGCATCTTCGCCACAAAGTCACTCAGTGTTATGCTTACTTGCATGGTTGTTTCAACGTCCAGCTTGCAGCCATGTAAAACACATCACCAAGCCAAGAGCAATCGCACCTGGTCTTTTGTGGATGACTCAAAGACACAACCTCAACACCAAGACCCTGACTTTGTACCTTGCAGTCTGCGCATCGAAATCACCAAGAGCCTGATGAGTCTTTGACTCGCGATGGCGCTGGCTGCGCACGAGCATGGGGCAGGAACATTCTGATGAGGCACACGAGGGCCGAGACTCGTGTCCATGTGCTGGGCATTTGATTTATCTCCCGTCCCCCACTTTGACTAAGCATGATAGGGATGGTCAACCACTTAAGGATGTTGGAGAACCATGGCAAGGATTTCTAGGAAAAAGTGACAAGACGCGCCACCGGAGGTTTGACCAGGGAAACTCTTAGACGGACAGGCGACGGGTTCCTTTTTCGATTTTTCTTCTGGATTACTGGAGAATGAGCAGAACGGAAGGGGCTTCTTCGTGAACACATTTCGAGTTCCCCAAAATACTGATGGGCGGTTTCGCTTTGACCCACCATTTAGACGGTATTATTTTGAAGATGTCACTTTCATGGACCCACTTCTTGGAACACCGATTTTCCTTTTCTGGTGAAGCACCCCCCTTTCGCAAAACCCTGCCACGCCGGTGCGAATGAAAGAGTTTGCTGTGGCTTCCCTCCAATGAGTTTGTGGGGGGATGCCCCCAAGTGGTTGGTGGACATGTTTAAACCTCCATGGAATTTCGATGTCTACCTAGACATTCCAAGTACCTCATGAGGCTGGCTTTTCAAGGGTTAAAAAAGGGGCCTAGGTACCTCCTTAGGTACTTGGACCCTGTGAGTACAGGATCCCGAGAGAATCACAACTCACACCCATGGGTCTTTCGAAAAAAGGGGCCCGAAGCCAACGAAACGGCTGGCCAAGTCACGAAACTCGATCTGGCATGGCGAACAAGAGTACGTAGTGATTCGCACGTTGTGAGTCTCACTTCCTGAGTTCCTGGACTTACTTTGTGGGACGACCATTTTTCGTGTTAAATGACAAGTTCGGGCTGTTTTAGCCAATCCACTCAGGAAGTGCGTCATGCGCGAACTTTTAGGAAACTACAGATCTGCCACCGAATTGACAGGGTTTGTCCGAACCCGTGAAGATGTTGAAAGCCAAAGGCAGACAGTTGCACTCCTTTCGATGGATTCGGAAGTTTGTTTTCCTTAAGCGTCACCAATTAACGGGGGTCCCATGTGAAAGTACAACGCACACATTGGATTTGTTTGTTCGATGTTCTGACAGCCCCTTGGCTTACCAGTTTGACCGGCAAGCTGCATCCTTTTTTCGTATGGACCCCTTCGGGGTTGGCTTCCCTTGGGTTTCCCTGAGCAAACTACGCCAAGTACGAAGCTTCGGGTCTCCGATAGGCACTCATCTTTTAGCTGAAACAACTGAAGTCACAAACCGCATGGATTCCCCAAGCTGGGAAACTGGAAACCTCCCAAACCAGGTGGCTTCAACTTGTGTTTGCCCCGTTTTTTAGAACCACCCCCAAACGAGGCTCGCTTCCTGGAAAGAAGAAGTCGCAGCATTGGCATGATTCTAGTACCCTTCCCAACAAAAACAATCGTAGGACCTGGGTGCATTGCCAGATTCCAGTCGCCTGTTTGCTCTTCATGAGCCCTTTTGGGTTTCCTTCATTTCCCCTTCCACCAGCGAAACCTTCTCGCTTCTTGCGGGGGATCTGAGTTGGGCCCAGGTTGAGCGCTACCCCTCTCACAGAAAACGAGCAGTTTTGCAAGCAGCTTTGTTTCGGGAAGGGCCAAGACCCGAACGGGTTTACTATAAGTACACCAGCCATGTCTGGGGTAGTGCCGGGGACGTTTTCTGGGCGATGAGGCGCAAGACGTGTTGCTTGCATGTGTTTCTGGGTGTCGTTGCCTTGGTTTGTTTGGGTTTGCCTTCTTGTTGTTCCCTTAGTTGGCCCAAGCCCCTTTGTCAGGCGACCCCTGATTGGTGGTTTGGATTTTGCGGTTTGGGGATTGGAGCCCCTAGTTCTGGTAACAGGGTTTGCATGGGAAATCACCCTACACTAATCCAAACCACCCTGAAGGGAGAACCTGAATTTTATGGGTATTTTACAGACCCATCATACCACCGGTGAAGGGAAACTGCTTCTCTAGAGGCACCTTCCCCATTCTTTTCAGGGATCTTTCTTTCAGGGAACCATCAAAATCCAGGGGAAACAGATCCGGTTGTTTGAAAAGAACGATGGTTGAAAAGAATGGACAAGGAATCAACCCCTGGAGCTTCCCTTATTTTCTCCCCAAAGGGCCTTCAACGGCCCGTTCGCGTCGCCTCGCTTCTGCCAGAACCCGCAGCTGTGGTCCACAGAGGACGATGAGCTCCTCATTCGCCGGCCGCCTCCCACGTCGGACGCCCCAGAGGTCCAAGCGGCCCAGGTCTCGGCCCTTGTTAGACAGCCGGTGCTCGTGGGTGTCTTCCAGTTGCTCAAGAAATGGTGTTGTTGTTTTTGTTGTTTTCCGTGTTCTTTTTTTGGTGGAATCCCAAGAATATGTGTGTGTGATTTTTTTTTGCGTTTTTTTGAAGTCGGAATCTATCACTACTGGAAGTACGTGTATTTTTTTGCGGGAGGCTTCAGCACATGGAAGCTGTGCCGGGAGTTTTTTGCCCAAGCTGTGGGGTCGGATACGCCCGGAAATAGGCTCGTTCGGGGTGGTTTAGGGTAGCTTTCAGGGAGGGTTCAAAAGGGCTACAGTGGCTGTTGGGGTATCGCCTGAGGGCTTTTTGTGGAGAGAATGAATCAGAAAATTAAGTACCAAAACAAGGTGCCTTTTTTCACATGGTTTTCCGCTGGAGGCCTGGGTTAGCAGGTGGTTCGGTTCCTTTTTTTTTAATGGTGGCTATACTAAGGCAAACACAACCTTCAAACATGGTCTTAGTAGACCTAAACATAAATCGGTTTGGGTGGAACCAAACGTCAATAGGCTGTGGTTGCTGCACATTTAAGCCGTTTCAAGAAGCACCTTTATCAGCTGATTTAGAGGATCCCCTTGAAAAGCAGGTGGCTTTTGGGTGTATCATTGGAGGAACTGCTTTTATGCAGCTACCTTTTGCGGTTGATTCCTAAAAGGGGGGGGTGATGGGGACCAGCATGGTAAAGGCTGTGGCGCCCAACAAAACGGCCTTCGGTGTTCAAGAAGGGGAGTACACCCAGTTACCCCCGTCAAATCAAAGGTTTCTCATGATGCATGCCCTGGTGTCAGGAGGTTTCTTGTTTCAGCAGGTAATATTGCACATGTTGCCAATGGTGTTCGATTGGTTAACAACTTTGATAGGGCGATTCCAAGGGCAACCTCTGAATGGTAGGCTCTCTATGTACACTCCCTGAATGCCAAGGCTTGTAGCTTAAGTCACTCAAGTGAATTGGGTATGTAACAAGTGATACAGTAGATTTCACTAACCCCCCTCCAAACCCAAAAACAAATATTTCACTCAACCCCCCCCCCCCAAACCCAAAAAGGAAGCATTTACCTCAGAAGCCACCACCCAGGTGATTTTGAGAGCCACCCACCCTGCCCATCGTCTCGCAGGGCCCAAGCGCTGGCCACGCCGAAGAGGGTCCCACAGCGAAGAGGTGGGCAGTTTCTCTGCAAGTTCCTTTGGGGCGATAGGGTAAATTGACCGGGGCACCGATGCAACAAGCAACAAACAACAAACTAGCAATCAAACAAGCAAACAATCAAGCTTACAAACAAACAAGTTATAGTTATAGTTGTGTGGTTGTGGGTTTGGTTGGTTGCTTGGTTGCTTGCTTGGTTGGTTGGATTGTTTACTACTACTACTACTACTACTACTACTACCACCACCACCACCACCACCACCACCACGACTACTACTACTACTACTACTACTACTACTACTACTACTACTACTACTACTACTACTACTACTACTACTACTATATACTACTACCACGCCTTCTACGACGACTACTACTACTACTACTACTACTACTACTACTAATACCCGACTACGACTACTACAACTAGTACTAGTACGGCGACGACGACGACGACGACTACTACTGCTACTACTACTATTACGATCACAACAAAAACGACAACAACAGCAACAACAGCAGCAACCACGAGAACATCCACGACAACCACAACCACGACAACACAACCACAACCACAAC